GTCAACCACGACATAGGGCGATCACAATAGTGCCGCGTGATCAGGAAAGTGTCGGTTCAAGCGGTAATAGTGACGAGGAAGTTAACTGGGGTTCAAAACTGGTATATACAATGGCGGGAGAGATAAGGGCCGGACAAAAGCTTTATTTCGCTTTACAGAGGCTTTTGTTGGAAATTATCTAGTACCCCATTGTGTATACTACTTATATTGAGAAAAAGCAGTGTAACAGGCTACAATTACAAACTGATCACATGGTACATGGCACAACCAAGTCAAAATCAGATCTTAAATACAATACATCTCTGCATAGAAATCTGAGGATACTTCCATAGAAGGTTGAATCTGGTGAACTTTGACCCTCCAGTCTAGAAACGTTACTCCAAGAAAACTAGAAAACCTTGCTTTTGGGTGTAGATACCATGGTGCTCAGAAAAATAGAGATCCGGGTAAGAATTGGTGTTCAGCAACCCATGCTTGTCGTAAGAGGCAGCAATAGTCCGGTTGACTTCATTTGAGACCGATGAATTACTCACCAACACAAAATCTAATACATGCAACAAAACCAAAACCAAAGCGATCATTATTTAGTTGTCACCTTTAGCTATTTCTGACTAGTGTTGGTCCAATTAATTGAAATAATCGAAGATTGGTTGCAGTGACTAAGCGACCAAGCAATTGATCATGTTGTCTCATAATCGAACACAAACAATTCTAGAACACTTGTTTTCATTAACAGTATTTTCACTAGGTTGGTTTTGTGTGTTACATTTCATAAGCACTACAAGCTCGTTCAAAGTCATGATTGAATTTATCTTAAAGACTCTAAGAAATTTATGTTCCTCCATACTAGTCATCCTTTAAAGATGTGGAAATTTTGCCCAAAAATCCAAAGAACTACATGCTTTTTTCCTTATTTTTGTGCATTAACACATTTCATAAATGGCGCTAACCAATTATTTACGATGATTGATCGGTTGTAATGAACCAATCATCAATTATGAGATTTTAACCAATTCCCAACACTATTTCTGGCGAGGAGGACCACTTGCTGGTAGAACATCCAAGTGTGCGAGATGAACGTGTAAAATTGAAATTTCACTGCACACGCTTGTTAATTTCCTGGCTGTTCTACCGGCAAGTGGTCCCCCTCATAAGAAATAGCGAAAAGTGCCAACAAAATAATGATCGTTTATTAAACAACATTTTTATTCAGGTGTCCCAAATTATGAGACAAATCATCAGAGTTGGTCTATCACAATTGCATAAATTGATGCTCATGATTTTGATCACTGGATTGTCTGGTCCAGATTCAATCATTTACAGACTGCTGTCATTCATATAGCTGCAATATTGCTGAATGTGGCATTAAACAAACAATAAACAAATAAACCATGGTGCTCAGAGATGTCAACATTTATGCATACATACAAAAGTGCCCAATCTATACTGTTTGCATTCAGAGTAAAATATTATTTTAACCGCTTAACACTTAACGTTTTCAAGAAGGAAAAATCAAACATGCTGGACTAAATAGTTTGCCACAAACAGTCTTGACACTGATTGCCTGATTTATAAGACTCTGCCATCTTATGAGTGAGGTGTTCTCAGAAGCAGAGAGGTACTGTATTGTACAGGAGGAAAATATCTCATTTTTCTTACAGCCTTGTATCAATTAAGATGATTTTATTATACACACGCACACATACAAACTGCACAAACTAGGAAGACACATGTATCTCTTTGTGTTGCTTTGATAAGCCACCTATTGTAAACATACTAAGCTCGGGGGCCAGTTCTTACAGCAGTCTAAATCGTTACTCTCTCACCCTTAATGGCTGTCAATATTGTGTCACCAAGACTATAACACCAATGGACGACAAGGACTATCCTTGGTTTCAAGTTGTTGAACAAGAGCAGTGAGAGAAGACGTGATCTGCATGTTCGGAAATAGGTGATCAGGTACTATACAGCAATCTGGTCTGCAGAGTTGCCTCCCTTTGGCATGCTATACTAGGCACATAAAGAAACTGTGCATACAAAAATTTAAAATCTAAATTTATCAAACCAGTGTAGACACATAAGGATTTAAACTCAGAGATTAGTGACATGTATCCATCTGCATGCATTGCCATGTTCCGTGGCGTCGGGTGGGTTAGATCCTTGAGGCGTGCAATACGTTGTTGCACGTGCATTCCGGGAAAGAGAAACAGAGCAAATGAATGCCACACAATACTGTCACTTTGGAAAGCTCAACCCCTCCCTTGCGATCGTTCAAAAAATTAAGCGGCTATTGAAGCGCATAGCATGCCAAGGCTCACGCCTGCACATGGGATGGTCCGTGGGGAATGTCTCAACGACAAGTGGCTACACATTTCCACTGCCACCGAACACCATTTCTGCACTGGTGAGATGCTACCAGAACACAAATGGCGTCATCGATCGCCACGCTCTGGACGGCCCGCGTGTAACAACGCCAAGACAGGACAAATGGATAAGGGTGACCCATCTTTGCCACAGGTTTCAGACTGCAGTGATGACTGCCCGAACCATCCCAGGACTTCGCCGTATCCACCCCAACACAGTTCGACAACGTTTACGTCATCACGGGATCAGACCCGACGGCCCCGCCATACGGCCTATCCTGACACAAGCGTCATAGACAAGCTCGCAGAAGGTGGTGCGAAATCATGTCCGCAGACCCTTGTTTTGGTGGAGAAATGTTGTTTTACAGATGAGTCCAGGTTTAACATTTCCCATAGTGATGGACATCAAGCGTGCCTATAGGCGTGGGAGAAGCGTTATGCACAGGCCTGTGTCTTGGAGAGGAATAGCTTTGGTGGTGGTTCCGTGATGATTTGGGGTGGAATAACAGCACGCCAAAGAACTCCTTTGGTGATTGTCCAGGGCAACTTAACTGGTGTGGGCTACAGGGATCAGATTCTTCGACCTGTGGCAATTCCTTTTCTGCAGCGCCATGGCCCTGGGTTAACATTCCAACAGGACAATGCCCGCCCTCATACAGCAAGGGTTGCTATGGATTTCTTGCAACACCACAACGTTGACTTACTGCCTTGGCCTGCAAATTCACCGGATCTCTCCCGATAGAGCATGTTTGGGACGAAATGGATCGGCGTCTACGCCGTCTTCCTCATCCGCCAGATAACGTCCTTGACCTTGCAACAGAACTTGAGAACTTGAACTTGAACTATAGGCTCTATCATCGTCGATGCACTGCTGTTCTCAATGCCGATGGTAGACATACCCGTTATTGAGCTTGTGACATGGTCGCTTGACCCCTGTCCCGCTTGTGGACTCATGGACGTCATTGTGATTGACTTTTCAATTGAAATTCTCCCGACTTGTTATGGTCTCATGATCCCTCCATTAAAGTTTATATGTACCTTTGACATTGTTATCGTACTTATCAACTGGGATAATATTTTGACAATGCACAGTTTCTTTATGTCAGATTAACTAAAGAAATTGTCTGTGCTTTTGAAGGTGAACCCTACATGAAGAACTGCAGATTCCAATGTCATAATTACTATGCTGAAGGAAAAGATATTTTGGACCATGAATATTTGGGGGATACTTTTGGTAGTGAAGACTTACTGCAAACATTCAGAAATATCCCCCAAACTTTTGTGATCCAATGTTTTGGACCAGCATGCATCCCTCCTCATGACCAGAGAGTAACATGGCACAGGGTGTCATAGGGACAATATGGCAAGGTGCATTACAAGATGTTTGTCATCTGGTTGCCCCTGTGTGCACCATACCTGACCTTGTGGGTCTCAACTGGTAAAGATCTGGATCTAAGATCTTCTTGAAACATTGCCCTGACATGCAGTCATATGACTGGAACACTTTAACACACCAGTCGGATTAAATGAAGAAATTGTATGCACTTTTCAAGATTAAACCTACAGTAAGAACTGTCATGCTTAAGAAAAAAACAAAATCATTAATATTTGGGGAGATATTTTTTGTAGTGAAAACTTACAACAAAAAATCAGAAATAACCCTAAAATGTTCATGATCCAATGTTTTCACCCAGTATATGTCCCTCTTCGTAACCAGAGAGTAACATGGAACAGGCTCTCTCATAGGGACAATATGGCAAGGTGCGTTCCAGGATATTGTCAACTGGTTGCCCCTGTGTGTGGACTAAAACAGCATGTGAGTGTATTTTACTGGCATGAGCATTGTACTATACTGAAGTTATGATCGGTAACCCTTTAATTGTTATTTTTCTTCATCCCAACGCAGGTAATATCAGTTCATTTTCCTTAAGCTGAAAGTGCACAATATTTTTTACATATTTTTTGTAATGATTGATGCCTGAAATTAATCAGGAGATTAGGGATTAGTAATCTTGCATTTGATCGAAAATGACACAGTTCCTTGGATGGGGTATGCTAAGGACCTACTTTGACATGTCACAGTCTGAAATCAAATGTGTTCTCATGAAAGAGAGGGCGGTGGGGTAGCCTAGTGGTTAAAGTGTTGGCTCATCACGCCGAAGACCCGGGTTCGAATCCCCACATGGGTACAAAGTGTGAAGCCCATTTCTGGTGTCCCCCGCCATGATGTTGCTGGAATATTGCTAAGAGTGGCGTAAAACCAAACTCAGTCAGTCAGTCATGAAAGAGAATGAGATTCTTTTCAACACTTGCATGTTTTTGAGTTATAACAACTGTAAACGTGTAGATGATACTGAAATGAGTTGAGACAGATTTGAGAGATTGTCACTAAACATTTTTCTAATACTTCAACAAGAGCAAGTCTTTACACAAACTGGACTCCTTAGAATATGTCCATGAACATGCACACCTATAGTCAAAAATCATCTTTTGATCACCTCTTGATGCTAAACTGTACCAACCGCCATACCCAACAAGTTCAAACTTAAGCATGAAAGTTAAGGATCCTTGTCACAACCTAATTCTTAAATAATGCCTTTCTGATGTCATTATAGCCCTATCAAATATGTGTTTCAGGAAACATGCACCTTCTGCAGCAGAAAGCTGATGTTCCTCTTCAAGAAGGAAGATGCCATGAAGGACTCTGATGGTGATGGCATCCCTGATCACCTTGACAAAGATGACGATAATGATGGCATCCCTGATCACCTCGATGGAGATGATGATGGAAATGGTATCCCTGACGACAAGCAGGTTGATTCAGATGGTGACGGTATCCCTGACTACCTTGATGAGGATGATGACAACGATGGCATCCCTGATCACCTCGATGACCAGAAAAACGTGGACACTGATGGTGACGGTATCCCTGATTATCTCGATGATGATGACGATAATGATGGAATTCCTGACCATCTTGACAATGATGATAATGGTGATGGTATACCTGATGACAAGGAGAAGGATAGCGATGGAGACGGCATCCCAGACTATCTTGATGATGACGATGATAATGATGGCATCCCTGACCATCTCGATAATGATGATGACGGTGATGGAATCCCTGATGACCAAGAAATTGACACAGATGGTGATGGCATCCCAGATTATTTGGATGACGATGACGATAATGATGGAATTCCTGACCATCTGGATGATGATGATGATGGTGATGGTATCCCTGACAACCAGGAGAAGGACACAGATGGAGATGGCATCCCAGATTATCTAGATGATGATGATGACAATGATGGCATCCCTGACCATCTTGATAATGACGCTGATGGTGATGGCATCCCTGATGATGAGGAAATTGATACTGATGGTGATGGCATCCCAGATCATTTGGATGACGATGATGATGGTGACGGGATACCTGATCACTTAGACAATGATGATGATGGCGATGGTATCCCAGATCACAAAGAACTAGACACAGATGGTGATGGCATCCCAGATTATCTAGACGATGATGATGACAATGATGGCATCCCAGATCATTTAGATGATGACGATGATGGGGATGGTATCCCAGACAGCCAGGAGGTTGACACAGATGGTGATGGAATTCCCGACTACCTTGATGACGATGATGACAATGATGGAATTCCAGATTATTTGGACGATGACGATGATGGTGATGGTATTCCTGATTCTCAAGAACTTGACACAGATGGTGATGGTATTCCAGACTATCTTGATGATGATGACGACAATGATGGTATCCCTGACTACCTTGATGATGACGATGATGGTGATGGTATACCAGACAGCCAGGAGGTGGACACAGATGGTGATGGAATTCCTGATTACCTTGATGATGATGATGACAATGATGGAATTCCGGATCATCTTGATGACGATGATGATGGAGATGGGATTCCTGATAGTCAAGAACTTGACACAGATGGGGATGGAATTCCTGACTATCTTGATGATGACGACGACAATGATGGTATCCCAGATCATTTGGATGATGACGATGATGGTGATGGCATTCCTGATAGTTTCGAGAGGGATACGGATGGTGACGGCATTCCAGATTATCTTGATGATGATGATGATAATGATGGTATCCCTGATTACCTTGATGATGATGATGATGGCGATGGAATTCCTGACAGCGAAGAGTTAGATACTGATGGGGATGGCATCCCAGATGACATTGATGATGACGATGACAATGATGGAATTCCAGACTATTTGGATGATGACGATGATGGTGACGGAATACCTGATTCTCAAGAACTTGACACAGATGGTGATGGTATCCCAGATTACCTTGATGATGACGATGACAATGATGGCATCCCTGACCATCTTGATAATGACGATGATGGTGATGGCATTCCTGATGACCAAGAAACTGACACGGACGGTGATGGAATTCCAGATCACTTGGACCTGGATGACGATGGTGATGGGATTCCAGACCATCTGGATAAAGATGATGATGGTGATGGCATTCCTGATGACAAGGATCAAGACACTGATGGAGATGGCATCCCAGACTATCTGGATGACGATGATGACAATGATGGCATCCCAGATCATTTGGACAATGATGATGATGGTGATGGTATCCCAGATGACCAGGAAATTGATTCTGATGGTGATGGAATCCCAGATCATTTGGATGATGATGATGACAATGATGGTATACCAGATGAACTTGATGATGATGATGATGGTGATGGAATTCCCGACTGGCAAGAAGTTGATACCGATGGTGATGGCGTTCCGGACTACCTAGATGATGATGACGATGGTGATGGCATTCCGGATAGTGAGGATGATGATGATGATGGTGATGGTATCCCTGATAACCAAGAAGGTGATTCAGATGGAGATGGTATTCCAGACTACTTGGATGATGATGATGACAATGATGGCATCCCAGACAGTGAGGAGGGTGACACAGATGGTGATGGAATTCCAGACTATCTTGATGATGACGATGATGGTGATGGAATCCCCGACTGGCAAGAAAAGGACACAGATGGAGATGGTGTCCCAGATTATCTCGATGACGATGATGATGGAAATGGTATTCCAGACTATCAGGAAGTAGATTCCGACAATGATGGAATTCCTGACTATTTGGACGATGACGATGACAATGATGGAATTCCTGATCATTTGGATGAAGATGATGATGGGGATGGTATTCCAGATTATCAAGAGGTTGACACAGATGGTGATGGTATTCCAGATTATCTTGATGATGATGATGATAATGATGGCATTCCAGATGATGAAGATGATGATGATGACGGTGATGGAATTCCTGATCATTTAGCTGTTGACACAGATGGAGATGGCATTCCTGATCATCTGGATGATGATGATGATAATGATGGCATCCCAGACCACCTTGACAATGATGACAATGGCAATGGTATTCCTGATGACCAAGAGTTAGATACAGATGGTGATGGTATCCCAGACTATCTTGATGATGACGATGACAATGACGGTATTCCTGATCATCTTGACGATGACGATGACGGTGATGGCATCCCTGATTCTCAAGAACTTGATACAGATGGTGATGGTATCCCCGACTATCTGGATGACGATGATGACAATGATGGCATCCCTGATGCTCTTGATGAAGATTCAGATGGTGATGGAATTCCTGACTACCAGGAAATTGATACTGATGGGGATGGCATCCCTGACTATCTGGATGATGACGATGATAATGACGGTATCCCTGATCATCTTGATGACGATGACGATGGTGATGGCATCAAGGATGAAGATCAAATTGATACAGATGGAGATGGAATTCCTGATCATTTGGATGATGATGATGATGGTGATGGAATCCCAGACCACTTGGACAAGGATGATGATGGCGACGGTATCCCTGATGACCAGGAGAGGGACACGGATGGGGATGGTATACCAGACTACCTAGACGATGATGATGATAATGATGGAATTCCTGATGATGAAGATGAGGATCAAGATGGGGATGGAATTCCTGATGAACTTGAACAAGACACAGATGGAGATGGAATTGTAGATTTTTTCGATGATGACGATGATAATGATGGAATTCCAGATGTTAGTGATACTGATGCCAATGGCAATGGAATCCCTGACTTTATGGAGAAAGACAGTGATGGAGATGGTATTCCAGATTATATTGATGATGATGATGACAATGATGGCATCCCAGATGTTTTGGATAATGATGATGATGGTGACGGCATACCTGATGACAAAGAAGACTTTGATGGGGATGGGATACCTGACTACATGGATCTGGATGCTGATGGTGATGGCATCCCTGACAAGCTCCCGGATCAGGATGGTGATGGCATCCCTGACCATCTTGATGATGATGATGACAATGATGGCATCCCAGATGACAAGGAAGATGCTGATGGTGATGGGATTCCTGACTACCTGGATGAGGATGCTGATGGTGATGGCATACCAGACAGAGAGGTTGACACTGATGGAGATGGTATTCCCGACTACCTGGATGACGATGATGACAATGACGGAATTCCTGACAGACTTGACGATGATGATGATGGGGATGGCATCCCTGATAGTGAGGAGAAGGGACAATGTGATAAGGATGGATGTAAACTTGACCCCAAGAAAAGGTTGAAGAGGAAGAAGAAAGGAGGAAGTCATTCTGAGAGCAGCCTCTTCTCCCAGATGGCAAGTTCCTTGATGGGCATGTTTGATGTAGAGGATGACAAGGATGGAACCAAAGAAGAACCTGCAGTGAAATATGCTCCAATCAAGCAGAAGGCCCATGAAGAGAAGTATGACATTGTTGAACTACTGTCTGAAAGATTCTTTGGAGTAGAATCGAAATATAATGATGACGATAACAATAATGACAAAGATAAGAAACCTGGAAAGGATGTTGAGGTAGATGAAGATGTTAAAGCAAAACTGGCGAAAAAGAAGGCCCAGATGCAAGTGCTTCAGAATGCCAGAATGAAGCAACTGGCTGCAGACAAGAAGCTTCCTCAGGTTGTCCGTGCTAAGCAGCAAGCTCAGCAGGTGGAGAGGCTCAAGCAGCAAGCAGTGAGAGAGGCATCCATTAGGAAAATGAAAGCTGCCAAGGCTCAAGAGCAAGGCAAAGGCAAACAGCAAGTTCAAGGTAAAGGCAAGAAGTCAGGTCTTGGAACTGGTGAAGTTAAACCTGAAAAGAAGCAGCAGACACAAGCACCAGTCAAACCAGTTCAAGCTCAACAAGGGCAAAAGAAACCAGATGTTAAAACTCAGGACAAACAACCAAAACAACAGCCAAAGCAAACTCAAAACAACAGCCAACACAACCACCCAAACAACAGGCAAAACAACCACCCAAACAACAGCCAAAGCAACAACCAAAACAACAGCCAGCACAACAACCAAAGCAACAGCCAAAACAACAACCTACGCAACCACCAAAACAACAGCCTAAGCAAGCTGTCCCACAAGGAAAACCACCTCAAGGCCAAGCAAAACCTCAAGGTCAGACCAAGCCTCAAGGTCAGGCCAAACCCCAAGGTCAAGCCAAACCTCAGACTCAAGCCAAACCCCAAGGTCAAGCAAAGCCTCAAGGTCAATCAAAGCCTCAAGGTCAAGCCAAGCCTCAAGGCCAAGCCAAGCATCAGCCTCAGCCACAACAAGCTGCCACAAAAGCAAAGCGTCCACATGCGTAATAAAAGATGGATCATAGTGTACAGCTATGAATGCGCCGAGAGTCTGGAGTTGTTCTACAAACACATTCCCTCCTTCCAGTCAAACTCTAATCCCTTGCTACATTCTTGTCCGAGATAAGAACAGCCAGTGATCGTAGATCCTTTTATTGATCTCAGTTGATACCATGAATGGTGATCTTGTGATGCCTCCTCAAAGAAGTGCTGACGAGCTGAAAGAGCATCAACTTGAATAAGAGTCCATATATCTGTGTATGTTCTCTGGAGAAACAAAGAAGAAGGTGCAGACTTCTCTCTGCAGAAAATTACAGTGGAAGAATTGCAGCCTTCCAAAATTTCTCTCCATCCCTACAGGCTCAGGGATGACAATCTTACATGACTCACCAGAGAAACTTGAAATCCAGAGTCAGAAGAAGGTATTTTCGTGTTAAGATCCACCCTGGTTCTTAGGGTTAAGCTGATAGATTGTTCAGTAGTTGTCATCCCTGAACATATATTTGCTCCATCTATGTACTATTCATATGGCTTTATCATATATTGAAGTATGTTAATATTAGCCATAGTTACATACTAGACTAAGCCGATCACAAGTACTGGAATGATCGAGATTTACATCACCCTAATCCTTGCTAGGAAACCCTAATGATACACCATTAATCCTTTAAGGATGTCCGCTGGTAAGATTTTCGTGATTACTGTACTCTCTATCATGAATCATGAGTGCTCTACTCATTATTCTAAATCAGTCGATCGCCAATGTAGATTGTTGCAGTGTGTCAGAAATGAAGGCACATACGTAAATATGCAATATTTTATCGATTTACAAATAATGTGATAACTACTGGTAACATAAAGATTTCTATTTTTTTAATTTCTGTTTATATCCATATATGGTTAAATTGTTTGAAAAAGTTGAAAATTAATGTTTGTACATTAGGAAAACTGTCAACACAATAATTTCCCTATCAGCCTTTATAAGAAAGTGTTAATGTGTCAGTTGTCAACAGGTGAGGACACTACAGCCCTGTTCATTTTCTTTTGTACACATTGTATTTTATAAAATCTATACACTTTCTTATTAAACATATTTTAGAGCTACTATTAAATATATCTAGAATAAATGAAATAATCTTATAAGAGACCAGCGGACATCCTTAAAAGAACTAAATGTCTCTTTGACCGGTTTATTCTGCAACCAGTATATATCATATATCCTGGTTGAAATACGTAATATATATCCTGGCCAGTTCATGTAATATATCCTGGCATATATCTGTGATATTGCTGAAAAAACACACATCTCAAGGCTTAATTACTATGTATTTCAATGTATAATGTCCATTGGATGTTCATATATTTTGTTATACACTATATCTGTAGTGCCTTTGGAAATAGCGTTTCCGGAATATTCTGGAATATTCACAATGGTGCTGTATACAACTAACATATACATGATATATATTTAACATCTGTGATATATCTATGCAACATGTTTCAAGAGCAATGTTAAACTTGTGTTATTATGCAATTGTACAGTAATAACTCGTGGAAATAATGAAAAATTGTCAAGCGTTATGAAGAGGATGCCAGCCCCTTTTGGCATGCAAGATTTGAGTGTCTATGGCGAGGAATTCTGGCCACGACAGTGTCGTACTATTATGTTTTGTATGCAGCTTCAACATTTAAAAAAACATGGTATACATAAATGTCCATTATATAGTAAATTTCTAAATATGTTTTCAGTAATTTGACTTTAGTGTCATTTTGTACATACTTTATTTACATATTTATTTATAATTTCATATTTTACATAGAAATTTGTGTTACAAATATAAGTATTCTGTGTTTTAAGAGTGAGCAATGATGTTCAGTTTTAAAAATTAAATGGTTTTCGGGATTCAGAGGATGGGGTTGGCATCCTCTATCATAGTAATGGTGGTCTCCGCATGCACTTTACCTGGTAATGATACCTCTGACTAGCTCCATGAGAACTACAGGAAAGAATATTCTCTATGTATTATTTTTAATGAAACCAGAAAAATATTTGTTTCACAAATACATTTGCAAATTTGAAATGTTACTGGACTAGAATATGAAATAACGATTTAAAATGCTGTTTTTTGTCATCCATCTAAGTTTGTAATGGAACTATTGTAATTGTTTAACTTTGAGATAAAATTCAATGGGCATCAAACAGCGCTTAGTACAATGAAAAATACTTTCAATGGATTGATGATTTAGATTGTCTCTTGATTAAACTGAGACACAACATGAAAAGTTCAGATTTGGCTGTTTAGATTTTATCTGTGATAAACCTATGGATATAATACTGACTAATTCTCATGTTGTGCTGCAGTGACATGGCATGAGATAGGTGGCAGTCAAAGAAAGTTTTATTGAAGGCAGTCAAACTATTTGTTTGATGTTTGATGATGTTTGATCTGAGTACACAGAAACCTTGTCTTTGTTTGCCTCATTCATGATCCTCATCACACCGTGACCAGGGTATCCATGCAGTATTACCTCCCTTTAAATGCTGCTTGTTATGCAACAAATTATAATCATCTTTAGTCTAATTCTCCTTTTAAATACTACTTGTTATGCAACACATTATAATCATCTTTATTCTAATTCTGACCTTTTAAATATTACCTATGCAACCCATTATAATTGTCATTATTCTAATTCTCCCTTAAAATACTATTTGCTATATGACACATTATAATCCTCTTTCTTCTAATTCTCCCTTTAGATACTGCTTGCTACGCAACACATTATAATCGTCATTATTCTAAGTCTCTCTTTTAATACTACTTGCTATGCAACACAATATAATCGGCTTTCTTACAATTCTCCCCTTAAATACAACTTGCTATGCAACATATTATCATCATCATTGTTCTAATTTTCCCTTTAGATACTACTTGCTATGCAACACATTTAATCGTCATTATTTTAATTCATGAAAATTAACGCACAATAAGATTTAACGTTTCCATGGTAAGATAATAGGAAGATGGTTAAAGCGTAACATTTTGATTTGAACAGTTGATTTCACCTGGTCTCACCATTCATTGACAATGTATTTTGTTTTTCTATGTAGACAGTTGTCCCTGCAGCAGTCTTATAGTACCTGTAGCTTGGAATATTCACATATCTGTTTGACTACATAATTTTGATAAGAATGGCATGTATGTGTTATAAATGGTTGACATATTTCTTGCAAAATGATTTATGAAAGTGGAAAATACGAAGTGTGTGTGTCGTATTGTTTTGAGATTTTTTGTTGTAAACAACTTTTGATTATATCATTCAAGTGACAGTATATTTATTTCATGTACGTTGAAATAATTGGAAAGATCTAGCAGCTTTGTGCATGGACATTTCAAAAGCTACTATCTTTAAGACTTATTATTATTTACATATTTTAACTAGGGCTTCACATGAACAATTAGGGAACCAAACCCAGATCTTTAGCATAACAAACAAACACAGCAGCCACTGGGCTACACCACTGTCCCCTTAAACGTATGAAATGAAATATATTGTCACTTAATCGGTATGATGGAACAGATGTAAATGAGTATTACACCACCGACTTGAGCCAGATAAATCCAGGACAGCCAAACATTCCTGAGGGCCTGGGAGACAATCTCAGGATATTTTACTGATTTAGCGTAACATCGGCATCCGATCTTGACTTAACTCTGCCTTAGATTGTTGTCTAAGTCATGTTTTACCTTGTGCTGTAAACTACCTGTTGTATAGTTCATACATGTCCAGTGAATGTTTAAGTTACTGGTTGAGCAAATGTGGCTATATTTCTGAAGTTCAAGGCAGAAGCAGATCTTTATAATTGAATATTTATCATGATAAAATATTGTCTGCACATTTCATAATGGTAACTTAAATTTGAAATATGTCAAACAAGTTTCAAATTTGGAATTTATGCCATGAAATGTACACTGAAAATACAGTTGGTAATATCTCCATATTGGAGAGCAGGGTTAGAGCTGGTATTTATCTTCATATATATATTTTGTTATTGTGTTACTGTTTCCATGAAATAAAGAAACAAGTTAACAAAAAAATAAACAAAACATTGCGTAATAAAATCTATGAGGGAAATATTCTGTTTAGAGGAAAAGTGAGTTCACTTGACCTTGTGCTTCAAGAAATAGCAGACATATTTTGACCAATCAGCATAGACAAGATTGTTTTATGCTATACTGTGTTTTAGCCAATGAAAACGCTGTATATATGTGCTAGCAGTTTAGTTATATGTTCAGAGCTAGAGTTATGGAGTGGGTTAAGTTTGCACCTTGTTGTGTAGGTGGTTTCTACAGGTTAGAGAAAACGGTTCATTAGCGTTTCTGTGATTTGTTTTCCGGGAAATTGTATAAACCCTTTCCATTCTGTGAAACAAGAATTCTTAATGCAATGTGATAAAACATTAGAAACTGTCAGTTGTTTTTTCACTACAATGAACTCATTTCAAAATATGTTTTCGATAATGCATTATATGGCTGTTTGGCAGTTGTGTAAAAATATACAATTTAATACAACTAATTACATGTAAATAATTTTGCAATAAGAAAACTTCTAGAACAAATAACCACACAAAAGAATATATTTGTTTTATGAAAAACTACAAAATATAACATTTAATATTACTTACTCTTATGATAAATTATCTTTTAAAATATGTCGTAAAAACTAGCGCTTGAATTAAATCAAACTTTCGTTTTTGAGCCCCAGTAATGATATGTATATTTCAGATAAAGAAATTATGTTTATGTAAAAAATTGTATATTTTTTAAGAATACATTTATATTAACAATGAACTGTTTTTAATGAGGTTTCATATTTGGTATCTATTGACGTTTCATGATTACAAAATTCACATAAACTAATTTCAGATATTCAGATTGTCACGAAAAAAGTGTTTCATTCTTTGTATTCCACTTCCTCCTCTTGAAACTCTCCCAGCACCACTGTTTTCTGTATATATGTCTTCGTGCTGGACTGCTGAACGCTGGAACTAGTTGTGTGGTAGCAGTAGCATTTCCCAGTAGGCTTCAGGGGGAAGTTGGCTTCCGTCTATGCTTCACTGTACATTCTGTAAATATCCTTGTCAATAAAATGTACATAAACTGTTTACCTCGTATTTTGTTGTGTTTGACCCGAGGGCGCCATTTCTGCCAGTTTCGGTTGGTTGGGTTTTTTGTTTAACGCCGCACTCAGCAATATTCCAGTTATATGGTGGTAGTCTGTAAATAAACGAGTCTGGACCATACAATCCGGTGATCAACAGCATGAGAATCATTCTACGCAATTGGGTTATGATGACTTATATAGCAACCACGTCAGCGAGCCTGTCCACCCAATCCTGTTTGTCGCCTCTTACGACAAGCATGGGTTACTGAAAGCACATTCTAACCCATATTAGAATTCAAAAGAAGGTATGAACACTTGATTTTTCATGTGAATATAGTTAAAGGGAAACAACACTCCAAGTTTTAAAATATGAAACATTGACTGGCTATTTCCTAGCAGAAAAATATGCTTATTGTGGACTTCAATTTTGACTGGTTTGACTTGTGTTTGGAGCTATTTTCACTGTGTTTGCGAGACCTGTCATAGGATCGAAAAATTAGGTGCATATAAAACAAAAGATATACAATAACGAGCTAGATGTACCCAAACGTAATGTGTTTGTTGTTGATATTGGATTTGACGTCACAAAATTTAGTCAGTTGATTAGAACTCTTCTGGGCTTTCCATAGATGCTAAATGTGCAGGGGTTATATTTGATATATAGATATGATAATGGTGCTGCCATGACTTGTTGAACAGCCCTCGTAATGCTCATAAGATTTAAAAGGATGAAACTATCAGTGAACATCGCAAAATGCACAGTAAAAACCTATCCCTTCAGATAACAAACTTAGTCAATAAAAATGTGACATTTGATATAAATTATTACTAGACATGATGATTTAACTATAAATTAATTTTTTGTTCTGCAAGGCATTGTTATAAATAAAGATTTGTCTGTGTATATTCTCATAAACCAAGGTGAAAATGTTTGGTAAGCATCATCTGTTGACACAAATATGCATCTTGTGATTATGCATGATAATTAAAATTGCTCTGGCTGCGCGACATGTAGTGTTGTTTCCCTATAAGCTTTCATGATTGAGTTAGTGACAGTGTGCGAAATAGCTAGCCTGTGGCTAGTAAAAAACCAAGTCAGGCCAGTAATTCTCTACAGTCACTGGCCCAACTGGCTAGTGAATACCCATGGGGTCATTTTGTTAATATATCACTCTCTCCGACTTGTTAAGTTATGATACACTTTCAAATCATGCAAGGTTATGGCCTGATAAAAATGTTCATCATATTAGCAGCTTAATGATGAAACCCATGTCTACATTCAAATTTCGGGCAAGTGAATGATTCTGTCGGCTAGTAACTTTCAGGCAAGCAAAGTTTGGAAACTATTTCGTACACTGGTTATTGAGTAAATTTTTACATTCCAGCAATATCATGGTGGGTGAAATCAGAAATGGGCTTCAACAAATGGTAATTGGGGGGAAACTGAACCCTGGCCATCGGTGAGATGAGCGAATGCAAGCTTGGGTTAGTGAAGACCAGTTCTATTTTAGCCAGATCTTCATTGCTAACAGAGGTATTGAGTGTTTTGTTGACTTACAGAATATGGTTACAAATCTAGCATTGAAACGAGACATCAGATTGTCTGGTGACATCATGACAAACTCCCTATAGTGATGATAACAAATTCTTGCAATATTTTAGACCAAGAAACTACCAAAATATATTCAATCATTTCAAATTTTTTATTCAACAATTGTAACAAATTTTGACACCTTTCACTTAGGTATAAATAAATACCACATATTCTCAAATATGACACACAAAGCTTAAATAAAATGCATATATGCAAACACCTATTGCCCAGTTTATACCACCAGGAGCAAGGATCTCCATCCAGTTGGACATCTCCAATCAGGGCCATGGATCTCCATGCAGTAGGACATCTCACCATCAAGACCATGGGTCTCCATCCAGTAGGACATCTCATAGATCTCAAAAAGTAGGACATCTCATGGATCTCCATCCAGTAGGACATCTCACCATCAGGACCATGGGTCTCATCCAGTAGGACATCTCACCATCAAGATCATGGGTCTCCATCCAGTAGGACCATCTCCATCCAGTTTGAAATAAGTGACAACACTCTCTTCCATGAGGACCATGGATCTTCATCCAGTTGGAGATCAGTGAGAACGCTTTCAACCAGTTAATGCATGCAATTGGGCATCAATAGGCACTGCCAGGAATTCATGACTAGTTTCACACAAGACTATCAGTCAATACAATCTGGCATCAGTTGTGAACCAAATCTAACTCTGTCAAAGTGGTTCCTGTTTCAGAATAATCCATGCACACTTTAAAAAACGGCCTGATTTTCTTCACTTTTGTTTTAAATAAAAAATAAGAGTTGACAAATCATTAAGAGACCATGCAAAATATAAATTAAACACAACCTTAAACCGAGAGCAGAAAAGTAGATATACACAACGAAATACGTAACTAAGTCCTGGTGACTCCCCCTTTGTTCTATGGCTGCCTCTATGGGTGTGGACATACACTTTATAAGTATAACTGCATTAATATATTGTATCTGAGACATAAAGTACCTTGTTGAAATAACACCTTCTGACAACCCAAAGGATTACCCTGTTGGTAATGTTTAAAAGTGCCCCCTTTTGTAGCTTGTAAATTACCAAGACAGTTGCTTTTGTGCTTCTTACAGATATGTTTCACAGAAAACAGTGCATAGGTACAGTATACTGTTGCCCAGAAGCAATTATTTTAAAAATGACAAAAGGTATAGTTTCATCAACCTTGAAATAGGAATGTTCAATAGTACATGATCTGGAAAACAAATTTAACTTGTTTTCGTTTGTCAATTTTAAGCGAGTGAGACCCATATCATGGAGAATGTGATAGATTTATAGTGTGGAGCTGAATGGAATCTCTTAGATAAGGCCAGAACCATTTTATTTCTTGTTTTACGGATTTTTGTCCTCAGAAAACCTAAAGACAGAAGAGAAAATTAAAAAAAAAATAATAATCACTAGTCAAAATAGTTTTCCTTTTGAATACTAAAAGTATTTTATTTTGGCCAATTTATGAAGTTTGTATGGGGGCAAAAAAAACCCCAATTTTTATTTTTAAGTTTACATTTTTGGCCAATAAAAACATGAGGATTTTAGTTTTTGAGCAGGGATAATTAATTGTTATTTTTTTTCTTATTCTTGAAAAAATACGGCCGGTGGATCCGAAAAGCAAGAAATGCAATTGGTCTGGTCTAAAAGTACACTAACTGATGTGATGAAAACAGTCTTGTACTGGGAGACACATTAGCCACACCTGCAGGACATCAGTCTGGTGGTCTATGGCAGTGAATGGATCTGGGGAATATTTGTATTTCGGCGCTGTTTTTTCTTGTACATCATCATCTCTGGGTCAGTTCTCATGCTGATTACAATATTTGGGTTTGATAAAGATGAAATATAAATTACCCTGCAAAACTCAGTCATTCCAGACTCACTCTCAAAATGTTTGAACACACAACTGCTGACACATCACGTTTCAAATTTGATTGTCTCATCAAATTGTCATCAAGGCATTCAGCACACATTTGGGACAAGCAAGGGGAAGTAACCCCTGCCTGCTGTAATACTGTTTCAGCACTGACGCACTGTATGGGAGTTTGTTAGGTCCCTCGGTCAGCTCACGGTCGAAGCTGACAAGCACCTCTTCTGTGAATGTTTTCCTGGTGAAGTGATGGCCACATGTGAACAATATGGCACAGTCAGGGTCGATGGGCTGGGTGGTGTCTGGAAGTCGAGAACAGTGGAGGTTTCAAAGACAGCTTTTATGGATTAAACTGACTGACTGACTGAGTTTGGTTTTACGCCGCTTTTAGCAATATTCCAGCAACATCACGGTGGGGGACACCAGAAATGGGCTTCACACATTGTACCTATGTGGGGATTCAAAACCCGGGTTTTCGGCTGGATTAAACTGGAATTGACCTAATCCTACAGACTGAAAGTTGATGGATGTACACAAATGTTCAGGCTGTAAAATCTTGTACATTCAATCTTGTAGACGCAACAAATATGTCTCGAATTTTATTCCTGTGCTGATTGGATAATTAGAGCTATATGTATCCCAGTAACCCAGTGACTCACCTGTCTGTGTGTCCTTCCCATCGTTCTGTCTGTTCGTCTGGTCCTCCAGCTGCACCTCGAGATGGTCCATCTCATTCCTGGTGAGGGATATGTAACTACGGGAGTCTGCATGTTTCTGTAGGTTCTGTACAATGTCCTGCCACAGACGATCGTACGGTATCAGTTTATCACAAGGCTGGATCTCAACCTTCCTCTCTGTCAGCTCAGGCTTGACGTTGACTGTGTCCGTGCTGGAGTCTCCTGTCCCAGCATCATCTGAAGTGTGTTGCTGGAGCAGAGACATCCACTGTTTGGGCAGCGTGTTGGGGTTCCTGGACGAGCTGGTCAACACGGAGTGCAGCAGTTTCAGGCAGAAGTCTGTGGAGAACTTCTCCAGGAACTTGCACGAAGGTCCTAGCAGTGTGGTAGGAGGTTCTTCACTCTTATCCAGGCACCTATATGCAGAAATGAGATGACTGTCATTGTGTAGGGTTTCATGATGCTGTGAACAGTCCATCCGTCTGTCTTACCACTCTATTTCTTCAATGATGGGGCAGGCCCTTTCCATTTCAAAATATCAGTCCTTAGAGACTACCAGTAACACTTATAGGAACTTGTCCTTTCGTATACTTGAGACATGCTTTCTTGAGGGGTCAGCTCTTACTATAGTCCGTTTGGCTCAAAAGCGGACCGATGAATTGCAATCTAACTCGAAAACTTATATAATAAAATAATAACTATTATTAAAATATCGACACAGTTCACTATTTGTTACGAGGGAGGAGTGCAGAGAAAGGGACAGACGGTGTGCGAGAAAGGATGGAGACGGCACAGCACAGGTTAATGAATCAATAACTTTGTCGGCACTTGTGCATGTGCTTCTCTAACAGCTGGCTGTCCCTTTCTCTGCACTCCTCCCTCGTAACAAATAGTGAACTGTGTCAATATTTTACTGATAGTTTGTTAAACAACTTTTTTAATTTTAGGACATAACTTCTGCAAACAAATCACAGAGTTGGTCTGATATTTTGATTATGATCAGCGTTTCATTGAGTATTATATGTTTATTAGTTTTTTTAGTTAGATTGCAATTCATCAGTCCACTTTTGAGCCAAACGCACTATAGAGCCTGGATCCTATTAGAGGTTGGCCATTACAGGCTTGCTTGCTCTTATTTGAAACTGGGACTATTCCAAAACGACTCTTATTCAATACCCTCTCTCTTTAGGAACTAGTTCATGCTAGACATTGGCTCTGATTGTTGGCTGGTGTTTATAAGATACTTAATTTTATTAAATATAGGCTTTTATGAGGGGCTGACTCTTATTAGAGACTGGCTCTTATTCCTGGTTTAATTTTATTAGAGACTTGCGTTATTAGAAGACTGACTCTCATAAGATACAGTTGCTTATTATAGACTGCGGGGCGGTGGGGTAGCCTAGTGGTTAAAGCATTGGCTCGTCACGCCGAAGACCCAGGTTCGAATCCCCACATGGGTACAATGTGTGAAGCCCATTTCTGGTGTCCCCCGGCGTGATGTTGCTGGAATATTGCTAAAATCGGCGTAAAACCAAACTCAGTCAGTCAGTCAGTATTATAGACTGCATGTTATCAGACATGAATTCTTACCAGAAGTTAGGTCATTCTACAGGCTGGTACCTCTGATTAGACTGACTGACTGAGTTTGGTTTTACGCCGCTTTTAGCAATATTCCAGCAACATCACAGCGGGGCTTCACACATTGTGCCCATGTGGGGATTCGAACCCGGGTCTTTGGCGTGACGAGCCATCCTCTGATCAGAGGATTACCCTGTTTCTTAAGACAGGGTGACTCTTAATTCATGCTAGTAGTGTTGGCAAGTGGTTAAAATCAAAATAATTGATGATTGGTTTAGTACAACTGACCAATCATCGAAAATAATTGGTTAGCATCATTTATCAAAATATCCTGTTATGTTTGTTAACAGACAAAAGTTGTTTGTTTTTTTGCAAAATACATTTGCAAATTTCACATCTTTAAAGGATTACTAGTACGTTAGGAACATTAATTTCCTGGAGTCTTCAAGATAATTCAATCGTGACTTGGGACAAGCTCGTAGTGCTTATGAAACATAAATTTAATGACACAGACAAAACCAACCTTGTGAAAAATATTGTTAATGCAAACAAGTGTTCCAAAACTGTTTGTTTTCGATTATGAGAAAACATGATCGATTGTATGCTCATTTAGCCACTGCGACCAATCTTCGATTATTTCAATTAATCGGACCACCACTACATGCTAGTATCTCTGGTGAAATAGGACAGATATGTTCAGTGAACAGTATCACATTCAGATGTAATGGTGAAAATCCTTAGCTGCAGCTGACTTGGATATTATGAGAGGCCAGCTCTCACTTTATGTGACAAGACGTACCTGAACAGCAGGAGACTGAGTGCGGGAGCCAGCTGTGTGAGCTGGTGGAGGAAGATGGCTTCAAGGTCAACCACCAACAGGTCATGCTTCTCCCAGTAATCCAGAACCTAAACAAACAGATGGGATGGTTGCTCAATCACAAACTTTCATGTTTACATGACATGACGATGATCCAGGATACAATTATAGACTTCATTTGACATCATTAGGCCAGATCAATTTTATTTCTTCTTTTACGGATTTTTGTCCTCAAAAACCTAAAGGCAGGAATAAAAAATAAATAAAAAATCACCAGTCAAAGTAATATTCCTTTTAAATACTAAAAGTATTTTAATTTTGGCAATTCATGAAGTGTATATGGGCAAAAAACAATCTAAAAAACAATTTCGTGTAAGTTTACACTTTTGGCCAGTAAAAACATAAGAATTTTATTTTTTGAGCGGGGATGATTCATTTATATTTTTTTTCTTATTCTTGAAAAAAATGACAGGCGGATCCGTAAAACAAGAAATAAAATTGGTCTGGCCTTACCTAAACGTTTAAACGGTTAAAAAATTGGAAAAATCTGATTGGCTTAGATTTGAGGAATACTATTTTTAGTAACTCAGTAACTCAAGTCAGTATAATAGAATTATGACACCATGGAATAAATCTGTGTTTGTTTGTGTCTAGTGACATGTCCGCTACTGGCTCAGTGAAAAACATTATGTAATTTTCTGATTAAAATTGATATTTTATACTTATCCTGACTCATGCTCTTTTGCTTGTCTTCTTCTTCTTGTGAACATAGTGGAACACTTGTATCTCCCTAATTGAAGCTCCCTTCAATGTAAAATCACTAATTAGTACTCACCAAGAGTTGCCTCCCTCTTGCCAAATGCGCGGGAACGGAGGCGCCACCTCTGCCCACATGCTTCACTCTCTCCTGTTTAACGAGCCCAACACTTGAATTTACAGTGAAATCCAAAGTGTTATGTGGGGAGGATGGGAGGGCTTACCTCATGAGTCAGGATAAGTATAAAATATCAATTTTAATCAGAAAATTACATATTTTTCCTTATCCTGACTCATGCTCTTTTGCTTGTAGAATCCTACGGGAATGGAGGAGGGAAAACAGAATACTTTGGATTTAAATAATTAGTGATTTATATCTATATGTAATAACCGTCTACGGGAACTTCATAATGGCACTGAATTAGGATAATTCCTGCTACTATAAAACATAAGTTCTACCAGCTGCCATAGATGGGGGTACAACAATATTTAGATAATATGATAATAATAATAATGGTATAAAAAACGACTCCAAAGTGGAGAAGCGACCCAATGTACATAAACATCAGTACTGGGCTTAAGACTAATGTAGACTTAAGATATGTATATAATTAGCACTAAAACTCCGTAGAGTTATAAGCTAGATGATACTGGTATAATATATACATAATAATCTCGTGAGACTATGTCTCATCGTCTACGAGGGACTGTCAACTGCTGTGCGAGGACCATGGGACCGAAATGGTGAATACCTGAGACGTCCTCGGTGGTGATATCTCTCAGATAGTGGTTAGCAACACCATGTCGGATTTCCAAAAGCAGCCCTCCATAATGGTATTCAACGAGCAATTTCCGTGTAGAGCGAGTGTAGAAGCCAATGCTCTGATTTCATGGGGATTAGATGCTCTTGGAGGGTCAAGTCCTGCAGCCTTGTAGGCACGAAGTATGACAGTTCTGATCCATATCAAAATGGTGGTACGAGAGACTTCGGTCTGAGTCGCTGTCGATAGAGGGATGAATAACCGCTTGAGTTGTCGTCGCCTCGTTTTGGATCGTTGTAGATAGATTTTGAGTGCTCTGACTGGGCATAGAGATAGGTCAAGCGTATCTTGAGGTCCGAAAATTGAGGAGAGTGCAGGAACATGGAATAATCTGTCTGGTTGACCTGGCAATTGATTCTTGGCGATAAAATCCCATCGCAGTCCCATATGCACTATGTTTTGATTGTCGTCAAAACGTATTCTCTCATAATCTAGTGCGTGAATTTCTGACATCCTGGCTGCCGTTGCTAGGGATAACAGGAACAATGTTTTCTATGACAGAAATTCAAAAGTTGTTGATTCCAGTGGTTCATAGGCCTCACTTGTGAGGTGTTGGAGCACTATATTTAGATCCCAAGCTGGAGCGCGAAATCTCTGTTTCTGATCCTCCAATCGGAATGAACGTAGTAAGGCGAGTAACTCTGGGTTCTTTGTTAACTTGACACCCGTTCTCATAGTTATCACAGAGCTTAGCGCTGCGAGATAAGTTGATTAGAAGCCTTTTAAATGTTTATTTTGTCGTAGGTAACACAGATAATCAGCCACTTGTGGATGTGTAGCATTTCTTGCTGTAAATCCCTTCTTTACAGCATATGTTTCAAAACTGTGCCACTTGTCGTCGTACAAGTTGCGCGTAGAATTGCATAAAGCAAGCGTGACTGCTTTCGCCGCTCTGGATGAATAACCTCTCTTGTTTAGACACACTTTAATACAGTCCATACGTGAAGTTGGAATGCTTCTGGGTTTCCGTGCACTTGTTTGGTGTGAGGATGTATTAGTAGATTCGAGCACTTTGGTAGCTCTAGTGTTTGTTGTCCGATTTCTTGAATTAGAATGGGAAACCATGTTCTCGCTGGCCAGTAGGGTGCGACCAAAATCAGTTGGAGGCTCTGCGTTTGTCTGATTTTCTGTAACACTTGTGGGATTAGAGCTGGCGGTGGAAACGCGTACGCGTTGAGGCCTTCCCAGGATATGCTTAGTGCGTCCGTTGCCCACGCTTGTGGATCCGGGACTGGTGATACGAATGTAGTTAGCTGATTGTTGAAGCGAGTGGCGAATAGTGTCTACTAGCGGAGCTCCTATTTCCTTGATAATCTGTGCAAAGATTTCTGTATGGAGCATCCATTCTGTCGGTGATGGTAGATGTGGCCGAGAGAGTGCATCTGCTAGTACATTCTTGGCTCCCGGAATGTGGCATGCTCTGACATGTATGTTGAGATCGTCTATTTGATCGAACAGTTGAAAGCATAGAGTCAATAGGTTCAATCATCTCGTTGAGCCTTGTTTGTTTACATAAAACGCCACTGTTGAGTTGTCGGTGTGAATCATCAGATGTGCATTCTGTAGAATAGTGCTCCAATGTAGTAGGGCGTTGATTACTGCTTTCATTTCTAACATGTTTATGTGCAGCTTGCTCTCTTGCTGGTTCCATAACCCTGATGCCGTCCGGTTGGCGAGATGAGCTCCCCAACCTTGGAGCGACACGTCTACATAGAGATGGGTTTTGAATTCCGGCTCTGTTAAATAGATGCCTTCGCAGACATTCGACCTCCTGGTCCACCATAGTAGATGGGGTCTGATGTGCTTCGGTAGATTGAATGGTTGTAGGTCGTCGAGATGAGCGTTGATGAGGACCTGTAACGGACGTAACTGTAGTCTGCCTCTGACTGTCATGTCTTGGGCTGACGTGAGGAGACCCAACAGACTCTGCCAATGTCGTAGTGGTAGCGGAAAGAGTAAGGCTTGAGGAATGGTCTGTTGGATCTTGAGCCATCGGTCCTCTGGTACGACGATACGGTTCAGTGCCGTGATAAATCGAATGCCTAGAAATTGCAGATCTTGCGTAGGTTCTAGGTCCGACTTGAGTAGATTTACTAACCATCCTAGCTGTGTTAGTGGCTTGATGATGAAGTTTAACTGTAGTTTGAGACACTGTGGATCTTGATCTACTTCAATCCCGTCGCCGAGGTAGAGAGCGACTCGCGAGCCCTAGACGATGTAGGTAGGTAAGTGATGATAGGTTTCGTTACTCTTGTGAATAACCAGGGGGCCGATGATATTCCGAATGGGAGTACTCTCCATTGATAATGCAGCCCGTCTAGTGTAAACCGTAGGTATTTCCTGGATTCGGGATGTATCAGGATGTGTAGATAAGCATCCTGCAGATCTATGCTGGCCATGTAGTCCATGGGACGAATTAGGTGCTGTAATTGAGGTAGATGTATCATGTGAAACGTTGGCGGTTTGCGTAGATAATCCCTGTTGAACGTGCTCATCTTGTAAATGAGTCTGAACTTTTCCTTGGAATTTTTCTTGGGCACTAGGAAAACTGGGGAGTAGAAGCCTGGTTCGATGTTTACTTGATCCAGTACTTCTATGGCCTGCTTGGTTAAGAGAGATGTAACAGCCTCTCTTAACTTTGGTAGTTGTTGCGCCTGGAGGTCGAACTTGTGAGGGTTGACTGTAAGCGGAGGCGTGGCCTGTAGTTGGATTCGATATCCGCGTTGAAGGATGTTGGAGACATATGGGTCTTGTAGAATTCCCCAGTTCTCCCAGTGCAGTTGAAGGCTTCCACCCACTTGTGATGGTTGTACTGGAACGGCTGGGGGTGGAAGACTCCAGTCGTTCCGAACCCGTCTTTCATCGTTTATAATTCTGGGAACCTCTGGGTGCCCTGCCTCTTCCAGATCCTCCTCTGTAGTTGCCATATGGGCGACGAAAAGAATCTTTTCCTCTTGCACTGACCATCTTCCTATCCCGTGCTTTCTGTAAGCCAGTAAACTTAGATCTTCCTGAATATCTCTGAGATGTCTGCCTGATGACGCTGGCTAGCGTGTCCATGGACTTTATCATAAGGACTTCCCTTGAATCCTTGGTGACTTCTTTAGAGACTTTATCTATACCTCCATCGAAGATAGATGGCATAGACCATGGGGCTGTGTAGAGTGGGGCAGTAAACTGTTCACCCCAAGTACAGGAAGCGAGGAGACCTTGACGACGAGCCAAAGTTAGCGCTGCGGAGACTGATGTAAGATGATCCGTAAGAAACTGCTGGTCCTTCTTCTGCATAAGGAGGGCCGAGTATATCATTCTATCATCCTCAGATGTAGAATCACGAAATCTGGAGATCGGCTGATCATCATACAGGCCCAGTTCTGCTGCGAGACAATCTCGGCTGAGAAGGTTCTAGAAGACTTTGTCGATTTCCCCTTGGAGGTAGATGCTGCCCTGGGGGTACGGAGTCTGCGTTCAGATGATGTAGAAGCCCTCTTAGTCTTTGGCTGCGACGACGGGATGTCTGGGGATGCAGGATGCTTCTTGGAGACGGCGGACAGCGTCCCACGCCTCTCCTCCGAGGGTAACTCTAGCGAAACACCAGACGGGAGGGGGTCGTCCGACAGCAGTTGACTGGCGAGGGGTTCCGATGTATCGGCCATGGCTAAACTCTGTTTGCATGACCTATCTGCTGCGCGTCTCAAGACCAAAAGATAATATTTGTTAAACGCAGAATAAGACAAATTATTACAGTAACTGCAACGTGAAGAAAATGCACATGGTGCAGTACAGCTAGGGCATATTAAATGCGGATCAGCAGCAGAAAAACGTAATCTACAAACAGTACAGATTTTCATCAACGTAAACTGGCTGAACAATCACGGCGTCCCGTGAATAAACAGCAGAATTACGAATAAATATCAATATATAATTGTTGAATGATACTAGCTACACCTCTATAGAAGACTATAAGAGGTAACTAACTAAGAATAATCAAAGGATATAGTGTGTAGGGAGACACAGGCGCTCTCACATCCTGCTCACTGGGCGAAGAAGGAGAGAGTGAAGCATGTGGGCAGAGGTGGCACCTCCGTTCCCGCGCATTTGGCAAGAGGGAGGCAACTCTTGGTGAGTACTAATTAGTGATTTTAAATTGAAGGGAGCTTCAATTAGGGAGATACAAGTGTTCCACTATGTTCGCAAGAAGAAGAAGACAAGCAAAAGAGCATGAGTCAGGATAAGGAAAAATATATGGTTTGTCACAGTTAGTATTCTAGATAACATTAATATGTTCATAAAGGTTATCAGTATTGTACTCCCAACTTCTAGTATGCCACTTATGAAGTCAGTGGTATGGATTAACCAATGGAATTCCATGTCATCATGTCATACACCTGAATCAATAGATTATAATATTAGGGACCATTCATAATTTATGGCTTGGGTGTGTGTGTGTGTGTGTGTGTGTGATGATGATTATAAGGGAGGTCACCCATTTTGTTTTGGATATTTGGATAGCTAGGGGGTCAGCAATTTTGTACACATGTACTGGGGGGGGGGTTCAGCAATTTCATACATTTTTGTATTTTTTTTGCATTTGTATAGTAGTGAATACTCATTACAAAATGTTTCAAATTATGCTTAGAAATTATGGGAAGGGGAGGCAGGGTCTATGATTTTGTACATGACATGCAGGGGGGTTCACTTGTTTTGTTCATAAATTTTAGGGGGGTCATTCACATTGTACATCTTACACTGTCTTAATGACATTTCTATATCTATGATAGCACTTCTTCTAAAACAAATAGGGGAGAGGGGTAGCCTAATGGTTAAAGTGTCTGCTTGTCATGCTGAAGACCCCTGTGTTAATTCCCCACATAGGTACAATGTGTGAAGCCCATTTCTGGTGTTCCCTATATCAGTGGAAATATTTTGTTCACAAATTTGACGGACAAGGCTTCCTGACTCACCTCAACAACAATCACATTCAGCTCCTCCTGCAACTCGGACTGGGTGTCGTCACCATTCACTGTGCATCTGACAAAGATAATACTGTTAATGTGAAGACTAGTTATATTTGCAGGAGGTGAGGTGAAATTGGGTTTAACGTCGGGCTTGAGAATATTTCGCTCATATGACGACGTGCATGCGTGTGTATGTGTGGCTGCTTGTACTAGCCCAGACTTTAGCTGGTTTTATAGTGCTAGCCCACTGAGATACCACGCCGCAGTGAAGCATGAATACCCCACTCAGACACATTATACTGACTCCGAGCTGACCAGTCCTTGTTGTACTCATTAATGCCGAGCGCCAGGCAGGGACCAACAAGTACCATATTTTAACGTCCTTTGGTATGGCGCGGTCGGGGATAGAACCCGCGACCTTCCGCTCTCCGGGCGGACGCTCTAACCACTACACCATGGAGGCGGTCTATATTTGCAGGAAGACTTATCAAGACATGCAGAGGGAGTAAAGTATTTACTGTTCATGACGGATGTTCATTGCCTCATGTCATAAGAGGCGACTAACGGGTGGTCAGGCTCACTGACTTGATTGACACATGTCGTCGTACCCCAACTGGGCAGATCAATGCTCATGGTGTTGATGACTGGATTAGTCTGGTCCAGACTTCATTATTTACAGACCACCTCCAGTGGTGAGTGGAGTGAGAGTGAGTGAGTGAGGAGTGAGTGAGGAGTGAGTGGGAGTGAGGAGTGAGTGAGGAGTGAGTGAGTGAGTGAGTGAGTGAGTGGAGTGAGGTGGAGTGAGTGAGGAGGGAGTGAGTGAGTGAGGAGTGAGTGGAGTGAGTGAGTGGTGGAGTGGAGGTGGAGTGAGGAGTGAGGAGTGAGTGAGGAGTGAGGAGGAGGAGTGGGAGGAGGAGGAGTGAGGAGTGAGTGAGTGAGGAGTAGTGAGTGAGTGAGTGAGTGAGTGAGAGTGAGTGAGTGAGTGAGTGAGTGAGTGAGTGAGTGAGTGAGTGAGTGAGTGAGTGAGTGAGTGAGTGAGTGAGTGAGTGAGGAGAGTGAGTGAGTGAGTGAGTGAGTGAGTGAGTGAGTGAGTGAGTGAGTGAGTGAGTGAGTGAGTGAGTGAGTGAGTGAGTGAGTGCTTCTAGTGCCCGTGCCCATGCATTAGCATCTGTACCTGATGTGATGCTGGATCACTTGGATGCTGAAGTGACGGAAACTCTCTGCCGACATGAACTGCTTCCTGTCTGACAACACCTGCAGCTGACACAACAACGCCTGCAACAACAAGGGTCATCAGATAAAAACATAGTAGATGTTGGGACATCGTGACAGAGTGTAATGGTGTCCATGATGACCTGACTGTGGACAGTGTATAGGTGCCATGGCTGACCTGACTGTGGACAGTGTATAGGTGTCCTGGCTGACCTGACTGTGGACAGTGTATAGATGTCATGGCTGACCTCACTGTGGACAGTGTCTAGGTGTCATGGCTGACCTGATTGTAGACAGTGTACATGTGTCATGGCTGACCTGACTGTGGAAAGGTAATAGGTGTTATGGCTGACCTGACTGTGGACAGTGTATAGGTGTCATGGCTGACCTCACTGTGGACAGTGTATAGGTGTCATGGCTGACCTTATTGTAGACAGTGTACATGTGTCATGGCTGACCTGATTGTAGACAGTGTACAGGTGTCATGGCTGACCTGACTGTGGAAAGTTAATAGGTGTCATGGCTGACCTGACTGTGGACAGTGTATAGGTTTCATGGCTGACCTGACTATGGACAGTGTATAGGTGTCCTGGCTGACATGACAGTGGACAGTGTATAGGTGTTATGGCTGACCTGACTATGGACAATGTATAGATGTCATGGCTGACCTCACTGTGGACAGTGTTTAGGTGTCATGGCTGACCTGATTGTAGACAGTGTACATGTGTCATGGCTGACCTGACTGTGGAAAGGTAATAGGTGTCATGGCTGACCTGACTGTGGACAGTGTAAAGGTGTCATGGCTGACCTCACTGTGGACAGTGTCTAGGTGTCATGGCTGACCTTATATTAGACAGTGTACATGTGTCATGGCTGACCTGATTGTAGACAGTGTACAGGTGTCATGGCTGACCTGACTGTGGAAAGTTAATAGGTGTCATGGCTGACCTGACTGTGGACAGTGTATAGGTTTCATGGCTGACCTGACTATGGACAGTGTACAGGTGTCATGGCTGACCTGACTATGGACAATGTATAGGTGTCATGGCTGATCTGACTGTGGACAGCGTATAGGTTTCATGGCTGACCTGACTATAGACAGTGTATAGGTGTCATGGCTGATCTGACTATGGACAGTGTAGAGTGTCATGGCTGATCTGATTGTAGACAGTGTACAGGTGTCATGGCTGAGCAGACTGTGGAAATTTAATAGGTGTCATGGCTTACCTGACTATGTAAAGTAAATAGGTGTCATGGTAAACCTGATTGTCGAAAGTAATAGGTGTCATGGCTGACCTGACTGTGGAAAGTTAATAGGTGTCATGGTTGACCTGACTATAGACAATGTATAGGTGTCATGGATGACCTGACTGTGGACAGTGTATAGGTGTCATGGCTGACCTGATTATACAGTGTATAAGTGTCATGGCTGACCTGACTATAGACAGTGTATAGGTGTCATGGCTGACCTGACTGTGGACAGTGTATAGGTGTCATGGCTGACCTATGGACAGTGTATAGGTGTCATGGTTGACCTGACTATAGACAGTGTACAGGTGTCATGGCTGACCTGTGGACAATGTATATGTGTCATGGCTGACCTAACTATAGACAGTGTATAGGTGTCATGGCTGACCTGTGGACAATGTATTGGTGTCATGGCTGACCTGACTATACCCAGCGGGCACACAACGTTGAATCAACGTTGAATCAACGTTGAATTTTGGTTGTTTGGTTGATCAACCTTTCATAAACGTTGATTCAACGTTTATCATGCGACCAAAGAAAGTTAGTCGAGATTCATTTAGTTGTCAACGTTGTTTCAACGTAAGGAACCAACAAAATGTCAACTAATTGTTTCCTTGGCAAATTTGATACATAATTCATATTGGTAATAGGTATCCAACTTAGCAACTATCATTTCGGAACATTATTTTCATAAAAGATCAAGATCGAGCTAGTGACAGATATAATCTTATATATTATTTGATTGTGCATCGATCAACGGACGGAAATATTACGTAAATCGCAATTGAAAATGAAAACATCAATGATTTTAGGTATAAAGTCATCAGTTATCTGAATTGCATTACATTTGATATTTTCCCACAAAACTGTCAAAATTGTATAATTCACGACAATTTGCTTTCAAACACATGCCAGATCGCCTCGCTTGGCCATATCCGACATGCACATTAATTATCGCGAAATAAAGGCAGCTGATCGCTGTCAGTTTACTTTGGCAAAGTTCAACATAATATCCTATTTTCAACATCTTCACGGTATGCTGGTGTTTATTTGGTAAGTATGTCCTTCATGTATAATGAAAATGTAGGAATGTTGTTTAAATCTAGCAGGTCAATGTAGCAAGAAACTCCGAATTAGGGCTCATGTTTTATCTCACAAGGGTACCGGTATGTCACGTACACGTTTCTCAAAATTTAGTGGAAGCCCGTGTTTTCCATGAACTTGTTTTGTTATTTTTCAATATATTTGCATGCATGTATTTGGCATTTAATTATTTAATGGAATAAGATTTCCTTTCGTACCCATCACCTGATTTGAATTTTGCAAATATACATTTTCAAATATTCAATGAAGTACATCAATATGATGCTTAGAAATTATGGGAAGGGGAGAGGGCGTCATAGATATTGTACATGACATGCAGGGTGGGGCGTCACTTATTTCGTACATACACTTTACGGGGGTGTGGGGTGGGTTAATTCACATTGTACATGCTTCTTCATAAAAATCATCATCACCCCAAAGCCATACATTATGAACGGTCCCTAAGGGCAGCTATACAAAATCGAATAGAATTTATCAACATTTTATATTGCATCACATTATTATGAACATTTGTTCGCTTGAATAGATCTATCAGTAAATTATGCATTGAGCATGCTCTGAACCCTGTCAACATATGCATATTGTTTGGGGGTGGGGGTGGAGAATGGCTTAAAGGAAATCTTTCTCAGATCATGCAACGAAAATTCACATCAAAATGTCTTGTGCAAGTCTTTGTTAAGGATGAAATTGCATATAATTTATTTGAACTTTTATTTATTTACAAAATGTGTAACTTCACTAATGATTCTTTGATTGGACAATTAACAAAACTGCACTCGCAGACTTTCATTCTTACACTTGTTTGGAAGGGATGTGGTGATTCATGTCTCTTAAAGGTTAAAATGTTACATACAAAAGAAGTAATTTAGTAAGGAACATTTAATTATGAAATAAGATATAATTTTAATGGAATTTGCAGAAATCTCATCTTCGAAGACTTGGTGGCATCAATATTGTGGATCACATAAAAGGAGCAATGCTAAGGTAACAAGTTTTTAACATTTCACTTGTTTCCAGTATATCCACCACAAAGGTTGATCATGTAAGAGAATAATTTGACAATGATTTCTCCCGGAGATGTTAAGTTTAATGAGCACTCCCTTGCTTGGCGCCATATTGTTTTTTGGCGCAAAGAGCTGGATGCAAGAAAGCACGCGAGAGGACAGAAGTCATAAATTTATAGAGATATATAGATGTTTATTGCTGGGAGACACACTCTTCAGGTATTTGGTCAGCTGTAGAATTTGAATATGATGTTTCTCTATTATTGTCAAAGTGTAGGTTTTTCTTAATTTATCATTTAAATGTGTGTGCAGTGAAACATACTGAGATTTGGAAGAGTCCATTATTTAGAGTACAGGTAGTGTTAGATATCAGCATTTTATATACATGTTCCCTTGTCAAGATCATCTATCGAGTATATTAGAGAGAAGGTGTATATTTGTAGTGTTTTAAATCAGAGTTATTTTCAGTGTATGACCGACATTTCAATATGTTTTGGCCACCTGTCACCCCTATGGTCAAATAGAGTAGGACTTCCATTTCTTGGAATTGAGAGTCAGAGATACACTGTTTCCAAGAATTTGCGTGTGCCAGCGATGTTTGTTTACGAGTACATTTAAGTCTTTTTGAGTGTAGATTGGAGTAGTAAGAGATGTTATTCAGTGTCTTATTATTCAGGGTATGATAGATTATTTCTGGCAATGTAGAGTTTAATCTCATTATTTTATTGTTCATGATTCAGAGAAGCATAGTTATGACGTCGCAGATATTATAGGCACACATAATTCATTATATGAGAGATTTTCTAAGCGTTCCTATAAGAGATTAAGTGTAAACATTTCTGAATTATGAAGAAGTTATTTGTCTGAGTTTTTTTTAGTGTGCAAATGACAAAGAGACACAGAGTAGATAATAGGGAATATATTGTATACTTATGAGAGCTCATTATTGTTTTCAGAACTCCATGATCCATACTTCCTTGTGTTTGGGAATAAATGGTGTTGGAAGACCTCCCACAATAGACTTGTTCTTTGACCTGTGAACCACCACCCATTTTGTTTTCTTATCATTTAATGTAAAATGGCTTTTGTTACAATTTATGACTCCTGTTAGCAAAATTGCTACATCAGTACAACTCCTATTTAATTTGAAATAATCGTTTCCGAGATTCTCTAAAGAAAACTAAATCTGACAGAATAACAACAATCTTCCATTGTTTTGCAGGACAATGTCAAACAATTGATGTCAAGAATGAATGTTGATGGGCAAAACGGCAAGTTTTCTTTTAAGAATACAAGGTTGCATTCAGTCATCTCTGGTAATTTAATTACCAAATGCAGCATTTTCATCATGACCATAGCAAATAATATATGACAGTAAAGCATCGTCTAATTCATCCTAATTCATAGTCTAATTGAATAATCAACTTGCAATTGAGGATTTTCTTTGAAAATGTTTAAGAAAACTTCCATTCCTCTAGTTGAAAATATAAATTGTTCTCATTTTTCGTCACATTTTGTATTGATGCTGTTCATAGGTTCACATGGCAAGTTACAGCAGTGAAATGAACCTTTCAAGTGATTGATTAAACAAAAACTTGAATCATTTAAGACAATATATCTTCCATATAAAATTATTCATGTATTTAAATATAAAATTTCAGAATGTGTCCTATCTCATGGGAATGAGATGGGAATGCATCCGAAGCA